ATTGTAAAGCATTGAGTTTCATTTTTGGTTAGTGCATCGGCATAATTATTCTGGCACCAAGCAACGATGTGACCTGTGGATTACTGCAGGATAAAATAATACTTCCGGGCCCCGCTTTCAAAGTAAAAGCAGTTGTGGGAAACTGGCAAATGCTTTATTTCCATCAGCATTTAAAAAAGCCAAACACGTGACCATTCTGATAGCCGTGTGCCATTTAAATTAGCATAGCTCACCAGCCATCATGGAAAACCGATAACAACACAGTGGGGGGTCACTTCACATTCTAACTTTAAACCAAGGATTTTAAAACTATTTGGTGTGGGTTAAAGCAGTGCACCAGTAGGCTATACGTTTCACATCCACACAACTTTCACTGAATCACAACAACAGAGGATCGTCGTTGTGTGTATAGCGGTTGCTAGGTAATGCTAGAGCTAAGTTCCGCCGTCATCCCGGATGTGGGCGGAGCTTAGCGCTAGAATCTCTTTGATCCTTTGATGTCTTATGTGACGTTGCGTTAGAAAAATCCTTAAGTAGGGGTTAGTTACCCTTTCAGTTTAGTAAGAAGCATCGTTTCACAGCCGAGCGTATCAGTTAACAGAAAACATGAATACAAATACAGAGATGAATCCTTTGACTGAAGTTAGCGAAAATATAAAATCCAGAATTAGACACTTCTTTATGAAGATCACAGAAGAACAGTGGCATGCACTGAAAAAAGGGAGCTCAGATGAACACACCAAGCAGGTACTTGGCATGTTTACATCTGAATTGTTTCATATCACCATGTCTGAAGTCATGCCAATGATTAATGACTTTGAGTGTGATGTCGACCCAGGGGAGAGTGTCAACTTGGGGGAGACGAGTTTACAGGGAGTCGGGGAGAAATCGACGCACTGTGCGTGCTGCCCTCGTTCGTGCACCCAGCACATGAATCGGGAGGATCCACAGTTAGCTGATCTGGTATCAGATTCAGAATTAGCAGAGGGGCCAAAAAATGGACCAGTGGCTGAGCCCACCAAGGACGCCAAAGCTCAACTGTTGGACCAACAGCTGCTCGTTAAAGAGCTCATAAATGCTGTAATTGCACGCGCCTCGAGAAAGGCAATGGTGCCGCCAACAGATTTAATTCAACAGCAACTCTTCCCGGCTCTGTGGGCGCAAATTAAAGAAAAAACTCTAAACATCAAACAAAATAGAGTGAAAAGTCTTGAAAAAGCAATTTTCAAAGACATTACAAAGGTCTTGGATATTCCACCTAATTTCGTTATCATTGCGCTACCACTAGCTCAAGAAGTGGTCATTTCTGTATTCAAAGATCACCTCTTCCGAAAGAAGCGAAGCCTACTTAGAAGGCTATTCGCTTGGTTTGGAAAAACTGAAGATGATGGAGACCAGCCATCAGAAACTAAGAAGATCTCCAAAACACTTTTACAGGACTTTAAAGCTAATATATTTCCAATACCGGGGGAAAAATTGCCATCTGGTGTTAGAGGCAGCTCTTATGACGCTGACCAAAAAGAGCTTGTGAGCACACTTATTCATGCTGTGCTCTCACATGCTGCAAAACCTTCCCTCCACAAACCTTCAGTTAAACTTCACAAACTACTCTTTGACATGATGATGGCTGATTACCGCATCAAAGGGGTGCATATTGATGAGAAAAAATTAAAAGGTCTCGATGAGGCCATTTACCAAGAGCTCCGCAACAAAGCATTCTGTGAAGACAAGCACTTGATCGTATTACTGAATGACAGGGACCCAGTATTGCAAAACTTGACGATCAATATAATTAGGAAGCACTTGATCGAGGTGATGGAGAATCCAGCCCTTAGCGCTGCTGAAGAAGTTAAAAAATACAGGTCTTCTGTGGAAGTCTGTATTGAGGACTTGGTGAAGCA